GTTAATTATAGTTTACGCTTGAGAAACATAGATTATCATGTAAACTATAGTTTACAGATGTGAAATATAGATTATCATCGTTAACTGTAGTTTACGGTCCGTAAACTATAGTTTACAGTCGATAAACCTAGTTTATCAACTGTGAAACTACGAATAGCTCATTTTTGTGAATTTGGCGTGCCATATTCTACCTTCAAATAATTACTGTTTGACTGTTTGGGGAAATGCACCCCAAAACAGTATTGAAAGAATATTTAAATTACAAAAAAGGGCCGCTAGGATTATTCTCGATGCAAGTCCTGATTCTTCCTCTAAACCATTGTTTGAGAAACTTGGCTGGCTGACAGTTTATGAGCTATTTGATCTATACAAATACATTTTATTATTCAAAATATTCAATGGTATGACTCCTGAATATTTTTGTGAGTTATTTGAATTTCACTCTTCAACTTCTTATAATCTGCGATCTGAATCAAACTACCATCTTAGATTACCAAAATTCCGTACAAACATATTTAAGACCTCTTTTCAGTACTCAGGTGTACATCTATGGAATAAACTACCACAACAAATCAGGCTTTCTCAGTCTCTACAAGCTTTTAAATGTAAGGTAGAAAATTACATTGTTAGCCGTCGAATAAATATCTGAGCAAATATTTCAATAATTTTTTTCTTTCTTTTCAATTTACTACATGTATTTATATTTAAATACTTGTGTTTATGATTGTTTCTTGTTTATATGTAATTATTATCGGACAAAGACAAACTCTGTGTTCATACTTCTGAGACTGTAATCATATGGACTGCAACATGTTAATTTGTATATTTGTATATATATATATAATTATATGTATCTGTACTTAATATCTAGAAGGCCCTGGGGAAGAATAGTGCATGCGCTAACCAGGTTACCTTCTTTAAATAAAGTATTATTATTATTATTATTATTATTACGGTATGAATTTAGCCAACTGAGACATTGCAATTGGAGAAAGGGATCATTTATCCAAGATTTTATTCACTTTTCCATGCAGAAAAAGTTCTTTAAGTGTGTGTCATTGCTTTCAGTGAGGAATTACCTTGTTACATGACAGAACCGCCATTTTTGGTTTGCACATGTGTTTATTTGCGGTCACCTAAATATTTGTAAAGGTCTCATATATTTATAAGCGCTTATTTGACTAAGATGCATTCTAAAATTTAAAACCCACCAGTTCAGCTGAGAAAAATCCGGAAATATATGTCGGAAAAAGACATTATTTTTATTTTCATGATTTGTGAAAATTAGGGTCGGCGGAATCGTAAACCAAACGAAAAAAAAACTTTGGCCTTGTAGTTTTTTAGCAACAATAACCATTGTACTCAAGAGAAGAAGAGAATTTTGGGAGACAAAGAATGAATTAAGAAAAATTCTTTGTCATTTAGATTATACCTCCTCTCTGCTATCATGAAGGGGGAGTTTACATGGTAATAGAGATGGATGCTCAATATTGAGTCACTGATAATGATATATATATACCCGGTAGTGTATGTCTATAAAAACAGGATTTAACATCATTCTACATAATATTCCTCCTTCTGTCTGCTCTAGCTCTACAGTAACCGTATGTTCATGCAATCATCATCAGTGACATTGTCCCACATTTAAAATCATCCAAAAAAGATCATTTCCATTACTGCATTGGGTCTCTTCACAGGCATTTTGTTTTTAGCTCACCTGAGCCGAAGGATCAAGTGAGCTTTTCTGATCACTTTTTGTCCGGCGTCCGTCCGTCTGTCTGTAAACTTTTAACATTTTCGACTTTTTCTCAAGAACCACTGGGCCAATTTCAACCAAACTTGCCACAAAGTATCCTTGGGTGAAGGGGATTCAAGTTTGTTCAAATGAAGGACCATGTCCTCTTTCAAGGGGAGATAATAAAGAATTAGTGAAAATTTAGAATCAAGTTTGTTCAAATCATGACCCCCGAGGGTAGGGTGGGGCCACAAAGGGGGATCAAAGTTTTACATAGGAATATATAATAAAAAAAATCTTAAAGAAGAGGGAATGTGTTGGGGGCTCCACAATGCATATGATTACAAGGATCTGATATGTGAATCTTTACATTCAACAAATATCAAGGCATCATTAGTTGGTTTTTTTTTTAAATTATTTTATTTTTGTACAAATAGTACTTGTAACAAAACAAAGAACGATTTCCTGGTCCATGAATAACCATGGCTGTTTATCACTGACCAAAAACAATATTTATGGAAGAATGTGCTACTGTCATTGTTACAAATTTCACGACATCTATTTATTGCGAGGTGTGTCAGGGTTGCTTTATCAACTGTTCATTGTTATAAACAAGATTTAAATTTACAGAATATGTGTTTTGTCATGCGACATGTAATTTAAAGAATGTTCAAAAAACAATTATTTTGTACCTCTTTAAAAAAAATGAGACGTATTTTTCACCCTCCCCAAAAGAGTCCCTCCAACTTACCTGTAAATTCGACACCAAGAATTATCCTATTATTCTTTTTGTGGTTAAAAAAAGAGAGAGATACATGTATTTACATCTTTTTATTAAATTCTTTTCAGGATGGATCTTTTTTTAGTCAATGGGTAATGGTAAATACGAATAATATACCCCGGTACTTCCATCCAAAAATCGAACTTTTTGGATATACTCGTAGAACAGTGTACATAGCCTAATGGATGGAAATTTCAACAATGCAATCAACTAGATATCAAACCGTACTAAATTCAACATGATATAGTTATGCTCTTATGCTAAAATGTGCATAGTCTGCATTAAACAGTGTTAAAATGCTTGCACACGTTTACGTGTATTTTATTACGATAAGCTCAAAAATAAAATTCCAAGAATATGTGAAAATAGGAAAGCACCTAGAAAAGTTCATGAATTAAGATAAAACTGCGCAGAATATTCACCTGAGAGTACCTTTAAAAAAAAGGAAATGTAAAATTTATAGATATTCTATCAAACCTCTTATAGTACAGATATAAAAATGGTTTAGTTTCACTTTTCGATTCAGGATTAATCATAAAAATTGCACACCTCACCTAATGGAGTGGCTGTATTTTCTGTGCACTTTTGGTGTTTCTCTTTGGTATGCATATGCAACAGAGCATTTACGTGAGTATATGGTTTAAATTTTATAACAAATTTGATTTTAAAAATTGACGTGATTTTTAATAGTCTTCAGTAGTTGCAGATGCAGACAATGTGGAGGCAGCGACTGCTCCTCGTCCTTCTGACAATTAATGTTGATAAGTATCTCTATTTTCTTAGGAAAGGTAACTCTCTCTCTCTCTCTCTCTCTCTCTCTCTCTCTGTGTTACTAATATTTTTCAGCTTTGAGCTGGATACCCCTCTACGAAAACCTATTAGGATCAATCTATGGAGAAACAGGCGTTATATAACGCCTTTTGAGAAGGCGTAATAACGCGAAAAAGGCGTTATACCGTCGTTTTACCAGTTACGAATATTTGCCAGTATCGAATATTTTTTAATCTAATTATTCTTGACAAACATAGTGACAGGTTTAAAAATTTCTTACTTAGTAAATACAATAAAAGGATGAATATTCTATCCCCGTGTTGTGTCTATGTAACATCTGCATCTATTTACAATTTGAAACAATGACCCACATTTGAGCACTCGCAAGTGCAAGTCAGAGAAAACGAAAGTGCGTGAACAAACGCGTCTAAATCAAACTTTTCAGTGTGTTGTTGATACAGATTGAGTATGTTGTCAATATCTAGGATATAATTGTAACAAGTTTAAATATTAAATTGAACAATAATTGACTTTTAAATGAAATTATGAGATCCAAACAAACCACGTGTTGTTTTCCTAGTTTCGAATCATGAATTTTCGAAGTTTGAAAAATGTCGTTTTCGGGGATGCAAGAACATGAAAAGCTCACAAAAGTGAAAATACTACCAGAATAAATTACAAGCAAAGATACTCCATGAAAATTATGTCTCTGAGATGGTTGATTTAATTTTATTAAAGCATATCACGAAAAGTTTATCATAAAATGCAATTTTTTTTCATTCTGTTTAGATTTAGAAAAAAAAATCATTTAAAACAACAAGTTATGTTAATATACTTTATGTAGAATTTTCTTGAAGGCATATTTCAACAATAATTTAGACCCACCGATTTTATTTATTGGGTCAGCAATAGTAGAGGGTGTTCGATTCGATACTGAAAAATCAATTCGAAACTATAGGAAAATGGGGGGGGGGGAGGGGTGTTGTAATTGACCTCTCTGCGTCTGTACCATTCATATTTTGGGAATTTTGGTACCACTTATTTGAAAAGCATAGAAATACAATTTAAATAACAACCAAGAACATATGGAACTTCGACCGTGTAGGTTGACAAGACATAACAACAAACCGATTCGTTACCGGAAAAAAGACTGTAGCGCCTTTTTAAAAAGGCGTAATAACGCAAAAAAAAGGCGTAATAACGCGAAAAAAGGCATTATTACGCCTTTTCAAAAAGCGTTATTACGCCTTTCAAAAAAGTGTTATTACGCCTTTTATTTTCAATACATGACTAACATGCATAGCCCACCCCGGGGGCTGAAATCTAACCCTCGGGACATGAATTTCACAAGTATAGGGCTAATTTCTCAAAAAATAATTTAAACATATTGTAATTAGATTTCCTGGTAAAAAGATTTTTAAATGTGTAATATATTTTCAATGTTTAACCAACTTAGTCCTTCTTTGATGCCAGACACCTCTACCAAGGGTCATGGATTTCACAAATTTGGTTGAAGCTTATTGCTCATTATAGCCATGCAAATAGTCTGCTTTCAATTTTCCAAGAGGAGAGAAAAATAATTTATTTGTTGAATTCGTTATAACGAATTCAAAAATTTGTTATAACTTACATGGATGATAAATGATATATATCTTTTAGTGTACATGGATGATTATGCCGTTTGTCAGAATCCGGTGTTTTTCGAAGTTCAACATGACGGATATATTATCCATGCTAAAGGTAGCATGCATATGAAACAGTTCGAATATGCAACAAAGAGATGCTCGCTGCGCTTCAAAACCAAGGGTGAAAATTGTATTTGTGCAGAGTTTAACGACTTCCATGTTGAAGACTGTTCTGTGCAATTAAAATTTCTCCAAGAAAAGCAGCCCATAGATCTGAGGAGAGAACCCAGTGACGTTTACCTTTTCGTAAGTATAAACACTGAACACTTTTTTTGATATCTGTAAATAAATCTCTTATCAAAAGTTTCACTTAGAACTGGCCTCCAATAATGAAAAGACGAATGGACAAATTACATTCTCGGTTGGTACTTTTTAAAAGAAATTGTTTGTTTGCTTTGTTTATTTTTTGACTTGTTTTGTTTTTGTGTGTAGAAAAAATACATTTGTGGGGATTCCTTAGGAACAGTGTGCAGTACAGGGCCTAATCTGACCATACAACTTTTTAAAGAAAATATCAATGCACAAGGATACAGTTTTCAAGTCAAAGTATTATCAAAACATAGTAAGCAATTCACCTCTAGAGAAGATGGGACAAGGCGAGCAAAATGCCTATTGTGCGACAAATATGAAATCAAAGTAAAAAATGAAATGTCATTTATGACACTTTTTTCTTTCATTTAACATTAACGTAATCTTTATGTAAAATCTCCACAAATTGCAACAATCTCACAAAGATTGCAATAATTCGATCGTCTATGAAATAGCATACCTACACCAAAGAGAGAAAAATAATTCTTCATACTAAAACACAATTTTTCCATATATGAGTAGGTTTTCACTTTTTTTGAAAGATTGTATTCAAAGTACATGTATACGTAAAAATATATATACCTCGGTTAACACAAACATGGAGAAAAGACCAACTATATCTTAAAAATGTACTTTTATGACACAACATTCGTATTTCTTCGAGAAATATTTGTAGTCCATTTAGTGAAGGGTCATATCACATATCACACAATGATTTAAATGTCGATGTTTGCTAGGAGTGATATAACGTAGTGCATGGTTAGTGTGTTAATATCCAAAATAAAAATTGATGCTCAAGATTTTATTGCCTGGGTTCGAACCCCAAGTATACCTATATCACATTTGTTTTAATCATAAAATGGTTTTTGCCGAAAAAAAATTTTCGCAGAAAAGTTTTGTTTGTCATAATTTTATATATTTCAATAATAATGAATTTAGTCTAAATATTGAATATGATTGGTATACATATGAAGCTTTAGGCATTTTGCACGTCTTTTTCGTCCGTCTCCTTTCTATACAGTTCAAGAAGAAAAAAGGCATAAGTGTACGTGTTTCTTTTCTGTCTCCACCTTAAACATACAAAGTAAAAAAGTGATTATATCTGGTCGAACAAGATGATCTTGTACTGTTTTGAATATACAGGTTAGCTGTTAATAAAAACAAGATGTGTCTGTGAAACATTCATGTCCCCTTATGGCAGCTCATGACCAAGGTTTTAAGTTTGTTTTTTTTTTTCAAGTATAGTTCAAACTCCAAGGTCAAGTCGTCAAAAATGTTGTAACAAAAAAAAAAAAAAAGAGGACTTCTCATAAGGAATACAATGTGAAATATTAAAAGCACTAGTACCAATCATTCAAAAGTTATGGCTAATATTAATGTTTGGTGAAAGATTTTTTTTTCGAAAGTAGATCAAACTCCAAGGTCAAGGGATCTAATATGTTGGTATCCAAAGATTGTTCTTATCACAAGGAATACACACATTTGAAGTATGAAAGCCTTAGCACCAACCGTTTAAAAGTTATTGGCAAGGTTGAAGTTTTTTTATCGGACAGACAGACAGGCAGAAAGACCAAAAATATATAAATAGTGCACGTTTTTGAGGGTAACAGTTGAAATTGACACCCCAAGGAAAACCATTGTCAACCGACGCGTCAGCGGAGGTTGACAATGGTTTTCCGAGGGGTGTCAATTTCAACTGTTACCCTCAAAAACGTGCACTATTTATTTTATTATACTGAATGTCTTATTGATTTCGGATGTCATAAAAAAAAATTCGGAGATCGTCGTTAAGTTCACGCTTAGAAAGCTTTCAAACTCCCCGCTTCTATTTTCTCAATAAGAAAGCTTCGGAAAAGATTTACCAACCTCTTTATTGTTTGTTTGCTACTCAAAAAGTCCTTTATCATCTAAAGTTTGCACTCGCTAGGATGTTTCGTCTGTCGTTTGTTGTTTCAAGTAAGCTACATCGGACGCAAGCTTTAATTGACGTCGTTTATTTGGCTTCTTTCAAACGCACAACCGACGTTTTGAGAATTCTATGGTGAACCGTACGCGCATGATTTGAACGCATGTGATATTTTCGTAATGTTACCCGTTGTCAAGTATGTTTCTAACGCTGAGGGTAACATTACGGATTGTTAAATGCTTCTAAACCAATCAGATTTTAGTATTTAACATGAAAGTATAATAACATAAAATACAACATGATTGGCTGTTGTAATTCTTATACCCGCACTTTGTAGAGAAAGTTCGGGTACATTGTTGTCAGTCGGTCACACTTTCTTCTTCCTGTAACTCCTCTTACAATTTAAGCAGTTAACTAATTCATCTTTTGGAATATAAGTGGTGTCCTTTAGATGTGTAATAAAGTTTCAGAGTTTTCATTTTCATCGGGGGGGGGGGGGGGGAATGGGAGCTGAAAAACGATTTTTTTTTCCTACAAGAAACCTGGTTCCCAAAACTCCTCCAACATTTTACGCAGTAGCCATATAATTTTGCAAGATAATTGGTAGTGTCCTGCAGATGTGCAATAATGTTTCGGAATTTTAATTTTTTTTATCCTGGGGACCAAATGGGGATAAAACGTTTTACAGAAATCTGGTTCTAAGAACTCCTCAACTCTTTACCCAACAACCATTTCAAATTTTGGAATATGATAAAAGTGTCTCATAAATGCAGGTGTTATTTACACTTGGGGTCAAATGGAGGTCAAAAAACAGCGTTTTTAATTTTACAAAAACCTGGTTCCCAGAACTCCTCATACATTTTACATGTACTGATGTAGTAGTCATTTCATCGTTTGCAAGATGATTGGGACTGTCCTGTAGATGTGCAATACTAGTAAGGTTTTGGAGTTTTCATTTTCACCCTGGGGGTCAAATGGGTTCGAAAAACGACGTTTTTATTTTTTCAAAAACCCGGTTCCTAGAACCCCTCAAGCATTTTACACAGTAGCCAAATCATCTTTTGTAAGATGATATGGGGTGTTCTCTAGATGTGCAATAAAGTTTCAGAGTTTTCATTTCACCCTTTTAAAATCAGAATTTTCTACAGCACTGTCTTTAACCCTTTAACCCCCAGAGACGCATTTGGACGCATTTTCAGCATCACAGATATTTAACTGTTGGTTTTTCTAAATAGTCGGGTTACAACAAAACAATTGATATTTTCTGAAACTAGAGAAGAAACTAAACATTTTCTATTCAAAATTTTTCTGTGCGATGTTGAGAAATTATCATAAACTTGAATTAAATATAGCATATCATTGCTGGAAGTTGATAAAACTACGCATAAATGACTGATTTTGTGCTATTTTCTGTTGGCTTTATCTACATTACAAACACAATAAAATAAAAAACGAATGCCATAACCTGAAAGCTGGGAATTTTCCCTACGTTTTTTACTCCGGACATTATAAGGTACGTGTACCCGTTACAGAGATATTTGTTGTTGAATATTGGAACTTTTACAGTAAAACACACAAAATGCACTATGACGTCATTTGACGTTTTACATGCACAATGAAATCGTTCATGAGCTCAGTGTAAAACAAACTATATCTTTTGATACATGGAACAGACATTTATTTTTTTAAATGAATTATTTGTGAAGAAGAGGTAATGTACAACACGTTTTGAGTCATAAACATGTAATAAAAGGAATTTTCCATAGCTTTGGGAGATATATACATGAAGTAATAGTCCTTGACCCAACGCCCTGATTGCTTGCACCCATTTTATCAGAAATCCCTGTCGAATTTTGTGTCAGTCCTACATGTAGTAGGAATAATCAATCAAATACTAGTAATTTAATATTATGCTTACCATTTTCCTTATCTTCAGATTTATCATTAAAAATGATTTTAAAAAATCTTTTTTTCTAGTACTTGGTGTACTTTGAAAGGAAAAGTGCATTACATTTTATTAAAGCGACAGGATAGATAACGCAGTTAGCCTTTTTCATGATAAAAAGATGAGAAAAAAACTGTCACAATGAAAAAATATATCAAAAGTACTACGTAGTACGTCGTTAAGTAGCCAAACAAACAGCAGATTTTAATCAGATTGCTATATTTATAGAAATAACTTCTGAATAAACACACAGGAAACTCAGGTTTCTTTGTTCGTGTTATTTAATTCATTTTTTCAGTCTTCACAGAGTTAAGAACAAGTCTATATCAAACTGGATAAAAATGGAAAACTTGGAATAAACTAACAAATTCTCCCTCATTGCCTAATCCTTTACAGATTAGCCGGGATTACAAGTATGTGTATTTAGGAAGCCGAAAAGTTGAATCTACTGCTACAACAAAAAATAAAACGGGGAAAGTATGTAAAATATTAGCCAGAACATAGCGCGAAAATAGCAAAATGCGCTATTTAATATAAAAACCGCAATTTTACTATTTTTAAAAGCTGTGGAGAAATCTAAATGAATGTACAATCAGAAGTATTCGGAAACTACGCCTAAGCTCTATGATTTTGGTAAAACTTGTGTTTTTCACTATAGGAATCAACGGAAAATATTTTTAAAAATCCCCCTTTCCTTTTTACAGCAATTTTGAATTATTATTTAACAAATTCATACCAAAGCACTTGTTGTTTCACGGGGGGGGGGGGGGGGGGGGTTTACACATTAAATTACATGAGTTAAACATATGGAAAAAATGAAGGATCATTTATCCATGTCCATGTGTATTTTAAAATCTGAGTACTATTTTAGAATCTGGTGATGTTTTAAAGCCTGATTTCAGTGGATACTAGTATACATCGTCTAGCCCCCTTATAAAAAGAGTTGTAATTAAGAGCAATTAACAATTTGACACTGCTATTAATACGCAGGTGTGTTAAGGAAGCACTAAGATAATCTGACTTGACTGAATCAGTGATTACAATATGACGTCATAGTAGGCGAGATGACGTGAAGTTTAGAACACAAGTTTTCTTAATATTGTTATTTAGAGACATAATTTAACTCCTGAAAATGAATAGAAACGTGCAAATATTAACAAAAATCAAATGTGTTTATTTTATTATGCTGTATCTGTCACTTGAATTAAAATCTCCGACCGATGACGTCATAACTGTTCAACAAGTAACTTGAGAATCGATGATGTTGTGTAACGAGAATTTGGCTAAGACGGCATGTAAAAAGATACGTAAAAGGGGGTTTAGAAGCAAATACCGTGAATATTATGTGTTATTCATGTAAAGTTAAAGTTTGTTAAACAGGTACGTTGATTTATTTTCATCGATTATATCTTCTATTGAAGAAAGTCAGCTATTTACGTATCCCGGTTGGCCTTTCCTCTGTCATTCGTGACAACAATAATGCAAAAGAACAACACTAAGCTGGATATTTAAAAACATAAGATTTGTACATATCGAAAGCTTGTGTTCTAAAATACTTGGAAAGTGCTGCTAGAATCGTGAGGTAAACATTGTTTGAAGAAATATTTCGGGTTATATGTATATAATGCAAAATATCGGGTAAGGTTTCGTGCAAATATGTGGAATAATTATTTTCCCGACCGGACAGTGGGATTCTAGCAGCACTTTTTAGGTATAAGAGATGTTTTTCAACTATATTATTTACTCAAAGAAATTATTAAACCCCGGGGTATTGTTGTTCTGTGAACTTTTTTATTAAGGAATATTTTGCTATTAATAGCAGTCACGTGATGACGTCGGGGTGATGCACTACTTGGCCTCAGACAATCCGTGTCTTTATATAATAGTTAATAATAGTTTACGTTTTATCGGCGACTTTGACAAATTATCAATCTTAATTTTCTTTAAAAAGTCTAAATTTCTCGAGAAATGATTTGTATGCTTCCTTAACACACCCGCGTAATGTTCATACGGTAATTTTTGAATTTACCGGGTGGTAGTAAATACAACAAGAGGCCCATGGGCTACATCGCTCACCTGGGCTCATTGGCTAGGAAGAAGCAGAAATCAGTTCAGTATTGAAGGGGGAGGGGGCAAACTTTAATTTAAGCTACCTCAGGATGCTTCCATATCAATATTACTAATCATGGGTTTGCTGTTCTTAATCAGAAGAATATTAGAGATTTATTTTCCTGTGTTTTTTCTACCGTCACGGTAGCTCATTCTGTAGAGCTCTCGCTCCGTGATCGGAAGGTAAGGGGTTCGAGCCCCGGCCGCGACTGACCTAAGTCGATAAAAAATAAGTTACAACTGTTCCTTCGCCAAGTGCTTGGCACTTTGAAGTGAACGTTGCGGGTCCTTAAGATGACACCTTAATAACCGAGGCCCATGTCATGGCATGGGCACGATAAAGATCCCTCACTTCTCAATGGCCCTGAGTGCCGGGTAAAGGACTATATTTGAAGCCCTTCACCGGTATATGGTGAAGTCTCTATGAGTGAAAAATTCTTGAACGGGACATAAAACAACATACAATCAATCAATCTTATGTTTTCCTATGTAAAACTCTGATCTCTCGTTGTGGCCCCACACTACCCACCCTAAATTTGAATCTACACTACCTGAGGATGCTTCTAATCATGGCTTTGCTGTTCTTGAGCAGAAGTTTTTTTCAAGATGATTCCCATATTTTTATCTTATGCAAAACTTAATTGACCCTCTGCTGTGCCCCCATGATTTGAACAAACTTGATTCTACAATACCTAAGGTTGCTTCTGTATAAATGACTAATAATGGCTTAGTTGTACTTGAGAAGATTTTAAAGATATTTCCTATGTATAAGCATTTCATAGTAGAAGATGATTTATCAAGAGGAAGTTTCAAAAATGTACTTAACTAAGCAGTAATTAATTAACAAAGATTGCATTGAAGTATATGGGGACAAGCTATTTTTTTTTAAACCAAATATACAAATGCATGTAATAAGAATATTAATAAATACTGTGGTGGAAAGATGCATTAAAATATTAGAAATAGTATGACTATTGAAAACGATGTTTTTACCAGATAAGTTTTTTAATTAATTAAAAACAGAGGTAGATAACCCTTCAGGGTCATAAATTAGGACACATCCCACCCTTGCATGCTAATAGTAATAAATGGGAATTATGTTTAAATATACTGAGTATTAAACACATACACATCTGTTGTGTATTCAATTTCATTGAATCTGTTGCTATTAGGGATGGAATACCTTATCTTCTTTATTGCTGATTCAACATCCGACTTCTGCTGCTAGCTTCTGAATGCCTGATTTCTCAATGCTTTGCCTTATATACCCTTTGGTTTGGCTAGTCCATTCCAAGGGTTGCCAGGTCATTCCATTATTTGAGTTCTTCAATGCGTTTTATTCGAATGCCCCTTAACCATCACACCTATATATTCCTATGTAAAACTTTGACCCACTGTTGTGGCCTCGTCCTATCCCTGGGGGTTATGATTTGAACAGACTTGAATCTACACTACTTGAGGATACTTCTATCTTAATATGACTAATAATGACTTAGCTTTTCTTAAGAAGAAGATTTTTGAAGATATTTCCTATATATTCCTATGGTGAACTTTGACCCCTGTTGAGGCTCTGCCCTACCCCCAGGGGTCATGATTGGAACAAACTTGAATCTACACTACCTGGGATACTTCTGTTATAATATGACTAATCATATGGCTTTGCTGTTCTACAGAAGAAGATTTTTAAAGACATTCCTATATATTCCTTCGACCCCCTCTTGCAGCCCTGCCCTACCCCCGGGGGTCATGATATGAACAAACTTGAATCTACAGTATGTAATGAAGCTTTTACATAAGTTTCATCTTTTCTTGCCCAGTGGGTCTTGAAAAGAAGATTTTAAAGATGCCACCAAATTTTCACGAATTCTTAATTGTCTCCCCTTGAAAATGGACGCGGCCCTTCTTGTGAGCAACTTGAAATCCCCTTCACCAAAGGATGCTTTGTGGCAAGTTTGGATGAAATTGTCCCAGTGGTTCTTGATAAGAAGTTGAAAATGTGAAAAGTTTACAGACGACAGACGGACGCCGTACACTCTTTGATCAGAAAAGCTCACTTGAGCCTTCGGCTCAGGTGACCTAAATATTACAATATGACAAGTTGTCATATTGTAATTTTTGTATTTACTTTCACCCGGTAAATTAAAAAATTACAATATGACAATGATATAATTCAATGACTAGTGAACTCTTGTTTGCAATTAAAAAAAAATAATGGCAAATTTGTCATTTTATTGAATAAAGGGGTGTACAATGTAGGCTGGAATCGAGAGTTAGTGTGCGTAGTTCTTTGCCATGCTCTCCCCATGGCCGTCTTTTAAAACGTAATGATGAACTTGTGATATTGTATATTCGAATACATAACAGGGTGTTGTGAAATCTCAGATTCAGGTCGCTGGAACCAGGCAAGTAATTTTATTTAATGATAAAATTCTACTGAAAATAAATAGGGGCCCATTTGATGTCAAAAACGACTGGGCATTGTTTCTTCTAAAACAGATGGGTTTTCCAAAAAGAAAAAAACCCGGGTATTTAAGGCGAGATATTTTCTGGCATGATTACTAGGACATCAAATCAACATTTAACAAACGAATTAGAGACGATGTTCAGCAATATCCCTCCTCCTCTCCCTTCGACCAACGTTTTATAGATGTCAATTTTTGTAACGTTGATATTTGTAATTTTAATGTGTACGATGGCGTTGAATATAGTAAACCCGTGTTTTGTTAGGAAGTCCCATTCTCAAAATTGCTATTTTTGTAACCATGGCAACACTGTTCATTGAAATAAAAATACTAAAATAAAGAATTGTGTATCTTAGTATACTCTACACGTGTACCAAATTTTATTAAAGTCAGGTAAAAACTGTAGGAGGGAAAGCGATTTGAAAATTGCTTAGAATTACGACAATCAGACAGCTGTAAAGCCAAAGTCTTACGGATGACGGACATTGTGTAATTGTATAAACTCTTTCTATAAAATAAAATTGACCAGTATAACTAAAAACTAATTGACTGTATGCTTTGTTTTAATAGTGTCACTAAATTCTTTGTTAAGGAAACATTATATGTAAATTTGTTTGTATTTCTGGGATGAAAAAGGGGGAGAAGCACATATTTTGGCAATTATGGGTCTCATTCGTTGCCATGGCAACCACGACGTCAATTTACTCTGCATAATTGAATACTTTAAGATTTTATCTTTCAGAAAATGTATAGGTTGCTTTATGTAAAAGTGACTAGAAAATGTTAAAATTTCAATTTGAAATTTTTAGGCAGTTTTGCAGAAAAAATGCAAAATCTCTGGTAGTTAAAGGGTTAAGACCGATATTGAATTTATTAATTGAAATACTAACATAAGAGGTCCATGGTTATATGCTTACCTGTGCATTTTACGTTCAATTTGATACATGTATACATATTTTATGTTACTAATAGAATAACTTTTATAGCTTCTTCACTACCCAGGTACAAAGGAGCTAGCAAATACTTACCTGCCTGCGGGTATTACTATCTTTTGTATTTGCTGCCACCTGTATGAAGGGGGGGGGGGGCTGAAATTCCTTGATAACCCAACTCCTCATTTAAAGGCAATCGGACGACGAAATATTTTCATTGAAGGGGTACGACTGTAAATCAGCACTGGTTTTCTATTGTATAGTAGATACTGACAAATATTTTTTTAGGGGAAGCCCCCCCCCCCCCCCCGTTTCCGGACCTGATGGGCTATGTTGATCAGCCTCTGTACTCAATATCAAATAGTTTTGTATGCTATTTGTCAAATAATATTAAATGTTTTTTTTAATTGTATTTCAGCCGATTTCGCAGTAAAGGTGGGTGTGATTAGTGGTGTAGCAGTTTTTATTGTAATACTTGTCACCATTATACTTTACCACTACTGCTACAAGAAACGCAGATGCAAGTGCAACAAGTGTCAAAGGGTATCTACTGAGAGCGAAGAAATATCTGAACAAAGATCTGAAGAGATGCGGGTACTAGAATAAACAAACACTTAGCTTGACATAACTTGCATTTATTCACATATATCATTTGTTTTGACTCTCACGAATTTTTTTTTCTTTTTTTGGAAATAAAATGTATTTTCTAGTGTGTGGTTGAAACGACAATTGAAGTTATTCAGGATAATGTAAAGAGTTTGTTTTATTTTTATTTTTGACATGAAATTTCTCCCTTACACCCTTGAGCATCATTGATATTTAAAACATTTCAAATGTCACCATATTAAGTCAAAGTCATGACTCAAGACACACAGTGACATCAAATTCAAGTTTCAGTTAATTTCAGTCAATGATTTTAAACTCGTGACATGGGCATTTTCAATATCTCCATTGCTCTGAGACCTTGAATTTTAGATATGACTTTGGGTCAAAACTACAGAACATTTTTTTTCCTGGATCTGAATTTTTTCGATCCATCAATAAGGGTATTTGAGTAAATAATTCGTGAAAAAAAAAACCGAGAAATTAATTTTATTTAACGGGTGTTTCGCGAAATTACGCGATTTATAAGTAGTAATCTGACGTACTTGGATTATATGAACATGCGCAACTGGGATACTATACAATAGGGCACATTTCTTAAGTTAGAAATGAGAGCCAACATTCAAATGAGAGTCCACGACAATATATTTTAGCGCAAGAAAGTATTGTAAAACTTTTGATTCTAGTTTTTTTTAAATTACTTATGAAAAGTGTATCTTTTATTCGATAAAACCCACAAACAACATAAATGGAGATACAGTGTATCAAAAGTCTCTTCCTTGACAGTCAGAGGTTGAATATAAAGTTCTGAAGTGGTCCTTGGTCGATTCCTCGTCTTGGTATCTTGGTAAGTTTTATTTTGTAAATTTGACCGCTAATATTAGATCTTCCTCTCAGTCTATATATAGTCTATATATGTATCTTAAACAAGATTCTTGGAAAAGTTGTAAACGGTGAAAGGAGATGAGTGAACAAGGCGTGCAGAATGCCTATAGCATCATATCAGATATGTAAAAATCATACTCAATTTATGAATTTTGTATTTAGAGTTAAGTTATCTTTATTGAAATTTATTAAATTATGATAAACAAAACTTTTCTGAGGAAAATTTTCTCGGCAAAAAATTATTCTGTTACTAAAAAATAATGTGGTATATTCGTGAGGTTCGAATGGTCGAACCCTAGCAATAAAAATCCTAAGCATCATTTTCCTTTGAGACTAACGCGCTTTTTTTTTTTTTTTTTTTTTTATATTTTAGACTAACGCGCTAACCACTAAGCTACACAGCTCCTTATGAATAGTGGCATTTAAATCATGTTTGTTATATGACCGTTGACTAAATGGACTTAAGTATTTCTCGGAAGTGCGAATGTTGTGTCACAAAAGTGTATTTTATAGGTATAGTGGGTCTTTGCTCCATGTTTCTGTTAATCAAAAAGTATATATTTTTACGCAAACTTTGAGGAATAAACTTTCAAAAGAATGGAGCGCATACCCACTCATATCGAAAAATTATGCTAAAATATGAGAAAATGGTCCCTTTTGTCCTCTTTATTGTGTGTATATATGCTATTTCATAGGCAAATAATTTCAATCTTTGTGAGATCTTTGCAAATGTTGGAGATTTTACATAAAGTATACTTAAATGTTTGATGAAATATCAAATAAATTTTGTTAACGTTATAATTGAGATTTTAATAATTTTTCACCTTCATGTTTGTCGCACTATACATTAAACATTTATTTCAAATCTATTACCCCTTAAAAATTTAATTTCAAATTTTCGCGCCCGAATATAAATTTAAAAACTTTGAACATATTCTTTTAAGGGATGATAGTGAAAATCGATAACTGAAGGCAATTTTAAATACAATTTAATTTGAACTTTCTCAAAAATCTTGTACAACAAGCAGGCTCTGGATGGAGAATGGCAAAATAGGTATATTTTATTATTTCCATCCAAAGATTAACATTTCATAAAAAGTAAAAGAGTAATGTTCAATGTATTTCATACAATATTCCTGTCGAAAAACACGTTTTATAATTATACAAGGTTTATATCTTATCTGCTACCCAATGGGGAAATTAATACTGAACTAGTGTACAACTTACTTCTTATGCAAATGAATTTATACGTCACATCCGTCTACATGGCGCTTGGGGAACATATCAATGTAAGATTGTAATGTTTACTTCTTTTGTGAATTTTCATATTTTAAAAATGGTTTTGTTGTATGGCAGTTTGATTCCATGAACTTCATAGACGTCATTGATGATGCCCTTTGCATGAAAAAAATTATATTTCCGAAAAATTACGAGTTGGAAAACTTGTACTATTATTTGTGACGTCACGTTTACTTTACAGTCTTGCTTCAGTGTGTGACAGAGTCAGAGAGGGGTCTTTTCAGAAATGTTAGTTTACCTTTCAGTTAAATTTTCTAAAGAAGATTTTAATAAATGTAATGTTCTATATATAAGAAACGTTGAACGAGTGTGTGTTTTCATTGCAGTCGTTGCATGTACACTGGATGTAGGACACACAATGGAGGGATAATGATTGAAATAGATACATATACACGCCCCCAGTAGATCCACTCCTACTGGATAAATCGGAACTAATAAACACACACACAAACAAATCAAAAACGAACAAGAAAAAAAAAATTAAAAAATAAATAACGTTATTCCAGGGACCTATAGTATTTAGGTCCCTGGTTATTCTATCATTTTAAAAATAAATATATCAGTTATCATTCATGCTATTTTCTTCATTGTTCTGTCACTTAAATTTTTGCAAGCTTCAAGAGTCTGTTTATAACTGCTTTACTCTATCAAATACTCACCTCTTCCTGCATAAACTGCCATATAACTTGTCTGTGACTTCAGAATCGTCTGATTTTAGAGTTTTGTTTTTTTTACAGGAGTTTAATATGTTAACACAAATTTAAATTATGCATCATTCCATATGTGTAGCCTTGCAAAATTGTTCTCTATAAGCTGAAACTTAAGGAATGAAATACTTGGTTTTGATAAGACCACAGAAGGCTCACCTTAAATTGCTTTTTTAATTACACAGATAAACTATTTTATTTATCAGTTCATATCAATCGGGAAGGATCAGTGAATGTGTAATTATCGTTGATACACTCCAAATCTTGCTGATGTATACCTAAGTTCCTATCCTTTACAATTTTATGATGGGTTTAAGTAGCATACTAATGAGATCATAATTTTTTTTCTTCAGAGATCGAAGATCAAGACATCACTTTTATGAAGATGTTATAGGGGGCAGTGTGAAGAAATGAATTAACCATGGCATACAACATCCCAGAAAATATGAACATAGGAATATACACTGGGCAGCCATTGCCCCAGAACATAATGATAGCCCAGCACAACCCACAGGGCTCATCTCATACTCAGTCTCTTGGCTTACCCACACGCTCGAGTGAGCTGCACTCGGTATCAACTACCCACTTCACTCACACAAAAACACCAGGGTATATAATGGTTCCCACGAATAGTATCCCTCGAACTACACTGAAAACCAGCACCACCAGTTCTGAAACCAAGCTTATGAAACCTCAGATTCTTGAAAAAATGAGAGCACTCAGAGACAGAGGGAAATACTGTGATCTGGCCATTGATGTTAAAGGAGTCCGCTTTCATGCTCACCGAAATATTTTGGCAGCATGGAGTCCATACTTTGATTGCCAGCTTCTGAGCGAGAATAATGTGATGAGAGATCTATTGATTGTGAATTATGACAGTTATGAAGTTTTCTCAGACCTGCTGGACTTTCTATACTCTGGTACAATTGCTCCAAGGGAGACAAATTTTCTGCAGCTTCTTCACTTGGCAGTGAGCTTCCAGATAGACCTTCTTAAACACTACTGTGAAGAATTCTTGAGAAGCAACTTACATTTGGGAAATTTTCTAAGCACATATTTCTTGTCCAGAAAGTACAACCTCAAGTCCTTGGAGGAGTTCATTGTAAGCTTTATTCAAGCAAACTTATCTGATGTTGTGAAACAGAATGAATTCCTAACTCTTCAAGCAGATCGCTTCAATGCAATTCTATCCAAAGGCTACATGGTGGATCTGAAGCCTGAAATCAAACTTTTTCTCATCATAAGCTGGGTTGGGTATGAGGTTAGAGATAGAGAGTGCTTTCTCATCCAGCTGTTGAGGCATATTGATTGGTCTATTGTGGCAAGTGATTTCTTGCTAGAAATTAGCAGAACAGAGAACTTTTTTACCACCCATGAATCAAGTCTCTATCTCTTGTTGCAGACATTGTACAGCTCTGGTATATCACTTGGTCCATACACAGACCATTTTCCAAGTCTTCGCCAAACTTATTCACACATGCTCAATGATATGGTGATAGCAGGTTTGATTGAGGCATATGAAGAGGAATTCTACCCAGTTACTGCCTCAGGAGTGTGTACCAAGTTTCTAAGGTCAGATGCTTGTGTGGGCACTGATAACTATTACCATACTACAATGGAGGTAGAAAAGACATGGGAGGAATTACGAAGCGCAGTTTTTAGCCCATCTACCCAACAAACCAACATCTACGAAAGACAAATTCATGAGGTGGAAAAAGAAAATAAAATGCTCTATCAGAATCCAGGTTTTATGCAACAGACAGTTGAAACTTTCCGTATTGAGGAGGAGAGCAAATCTCAAAAAAAACATATTGAAGAAGAAACCAAGTCTCACAAACGGAAAGGGAAACCTCGTCGAAAAGCAACATCTTCAAAATCACCAGAAAGGGAAACCGTTGTGGAGACAAGTCCCAAAATCTCCCCGAGAAGAGGAAAGAGATCATCACAGGAAGTTGTAGATGAGGAAAAAGGCAGGAGTATGTCCAAGAAAAGACAGAGACCTTCAAGAAGAGGAAGAGGCAGAAGATCTGTGAAGAGAGAACAAGAACCTCTTTCAGACAGTGACGAAAATGAGGCAACGAGAGAAGAGGAGGAAGATCAAATTAAAAATGTGGAAACTCAAGAAGAAGAAAACAAGGAGGAAAATGAAAATATTGTTAATGAAGACCAAGAAGAGGATGATAATGAGGAAGAAGAAAAAGAGGAGGAAGAAGAGGAGGAGGAAGATGAAGAGGAGGAGAATGATGGAGAGGAAGAAGGTGAAGAAGATGGGGAGGAGGAAGAAAATCTGGATAACACAGGTGGAGATTCTGAAGATCCAGAAATGCTGGCAGAATCAGAGGAAGAATGGGTTCCTGAGGAAGAAGCAAAATTAGAAACCAAAGAAAGAAATGTCAGAAGATCCAGTAGACCAGTAAAACCTTCCAGTCTTGTCCGAAAGACAAAACAGAGGAGGCCAGTACATACTGGTAGAAAGAAAAACCAAAACAAGGAGACCATACAATGTAGCCTTTGTGAATATGAAACTGACACTAAAGCAAGACTTGAAACTCATGTGAAGCGTATTCACGAGTGTCACATGACCTACAAATGCATGCTCTGTGACTACTCAACAAAATGGAACAAAGGTTTTACTGATCACCTTAAGAAAACCCATTTTCGAGGTCCACCATTTAAATGTTTAGACTGTGAGTTCACTGATAAGAAGCTGCATGTCGTCCTGGCACATCGAAGCAAACATGTCGTGGATCGTCCACACGCCTGTGATTTCTGTGATCAGCGATTCAAAACCAGAAACAATGCGCTGGCTCACATTAAAGTTCATTCAGGTTTGATTTCATTTTCATTTCTTTAACTAAAGATTTTGTTAGATATTTGATTCACATTTTCTAATGTTTCTTCTCTGAGGAAGGGGGTCACACTTTTTATTTATGATTATGGGACAAATTCAATTAATGACCTAAGACAAGCAAAAAATTGTTGTGAGAGAAATCATTCTGATTTGTTAAAATGATCCCTTTTGGTCTTGCAGGACTGCGTCCATTTGAGTGTGATATTTGCCACAGAAATTTTGCCACTAAGAACACAATGGAGCAGCACATGGTGACACACAGCAGTGACAGGCCTTACTTGTGTGATCAGTGTGGGTTCTCCTCCAAGTTCCAGTCTCACCTGATCTCTCATAGACGAATACACACAGGTGAGATTATCATGACAAGCATGACTGATTTTATGTGCTTAGTTACTTGGCATTTTTTTTATTACATGGGGGTATATTCAAAATATGAGCTTTAACTCCAAGCTAATGTGATGTTGTTTATAGTTAATCTTTATGGATCTCTCAATTATAAGTAATGGAATATTTCAGGAGATCTGTATCCATGCAGCTATCCACAGTGTACCTACAGAACACCAAAGAAAAGTCAGCTGAAATGTCACATGAAGAGCCACCTCAATATTCGTCAGCACATTTGTACCACCTGTAATAAAGCCTTCATTGAAAAGAGCCATCTAGTCAGACACCAAAAAATCCACCTGAACGAAAAACCATACCAATGTCAAGAATGTGATTACAAGACAACTCGTCCCGACAAGATGAAGGAGCACTTTTCAAAGCATCATGGCCCAGAGCCCTCAGTGAAAACTCCATATAAACAGAGGAAACCACGGACTCGCAAGGTCAAGCAGGCGCCACCATCATTTCCGCATTTTGATCATGCTGCATACACAATGCCCCCTGCTCAAGTACAGGGTCAGAGTGACCATGGCGCTTACACTATTCAGGACAAAGATCCACCACGGCAGTCAGATTTCAATTCCTTCATTCAAGACATTCGCATGCATCTTGCCGAAAACAGCAATGGTGGAAACATGGAAGGCATGACAATTGTCAATGTACCAATTATGGCTGACCAGATTGTAGATGCAGCTGTGGGGGACAGTAGACTAAGCATTGCTGACACTCCCCAGAATTCAGCCCCCACTTCCACTGCAATGACTATAATTCATGACGAACACCAGGCTTATGTTGCACACCACAACATACAGCAGCCAAATACCACTTTACAACAAAACATGGTACAAGGCCAGAATCAGGACTATGGGGGCCTTGGTGCTTTTATGGCACTGTTTTAGGACACTAATTGCTAAATGAACCTTAAATTAAATTAACTCCACCCATATTTTTTTACCTAGTACCTTTATTAATTAAAAAAAAAACACCTTTGAGCTAGTCAGTTTATCATGAAATTAACTAATAGATCAAGTTATCAGCGAATATGTCATTCTTCAGCATTTATATTTTATCATGTTTGTAATTGGTTGTATATTTATTTGTTTATGTATACAATGTTCAAATATGAACTATCATATGGTATTTAATTATAAAAATATATACATGTATGACTACTCTCTTTTTGTTTGTTGACTTGACGCTTCTAATCTGTGTGGACATGGATTAAGATATTGTGAAATTGTATGCTGAAATTTCATCTTGTGAGATATTCTGAAAAGAAATCGAAAGGGTCAGATATTTGAGTGTTTTACGACATGTGCTTGGTTAGAAAAATATTTTCAGTAATGTCACTCCACCCTTGGCAAAAGTTAATTATTTTATAGTTGGTATGAAGATTGTTTCTTTGTTTTAATTAAGCCCATTTAGATATACATTTTGATCTAAGTCTGCCAATTGAAAATTGACTGTGCATGAAAAGAAAAAAAAGTATCGAGAATTTTTAAATTTTTTTTGCTAACAAGACATTAATATTTTAGAGGGTACCGATGTTGTAAAATGAGGTCCCCCCCCCCCTTAGTCAGACTTCTCCCAGAAGACTGGCTGCCCCTAGGAAGACTGGCTGTATAGTGAGTCTTCTCCTTGGGATGTCTCACAATGTAGCCATTCTTCCGGAGGGAAAGCTCACTATATAGCCATTCCTGTTCCCCCTTCATAGTTAAGCTTAATCCCCCCCCTCCACTTTAGTTTCTGAAAAAGTCCTTTTTAATTTTTGTGTATTAAGTATGGCTCCGTGTAAAAATCATGCAGGGGGTGATACATGGGGGGTTTCAGAATTTTTTCAAACTTTGCATGTTGGTAGAGTATGCTAAGATACTACAAAAAATAAAATGCTTTTTTATCAATTCTGTGTCTGGTTGCCATGGCAACAGTTGAACTGTTTTCGGTAAAATATGGCTGAAATTTCCTTTAAAAATAGGCAAAAATATCAATATTTCAGATGAAATTAAAAGAAAATCAGACATTAAATCACATTTTTGTTTATTTCTCATTCAAATACAGCTCAAGTAGTAACTTTTCATAATTAATCAAAATATTTCCATGTCCAGTAAAATGTTCTAATTTTAAGCTGAAAAGGGGAGATAATCCATATTGACAAAAACAGCAAAATATCAATTTTTTGAGGATTTTCAGCTATCAAAAAATTGAAAAACCCTACAGCCAAACCAAAAGGCCATGCTAGTTTCATAGACACCATACCCTATAGAAAATAAAATAATTAAAACATTTTTGTGCAAATGATTATTATTTTCCAAAATGATTGACGAGTTTCATATATAAAATGGCAATTTCCCTTTTTTTGTCACAGTACAATAACTATGCCCTATACACATATCATGAATATATACCAGGTATGCATGTAAGAATAAATTGACATTTCAAAAAAAATTTCTCAGTTTTCTAATTTGAAATACAACACAATTTTACTTTTCATTTAATCAAAATATTTTCATGACCAGTAAAATGTTCTAATTTTAAGCTGAAAAGGGAGATAATCCATATTTACAAAAACAGTATCATATCCCATTTTTGAGGGTTTTTTTCAGCCTATAAATATTTTTTAAAGTCCAACAGCCAATACAAATCAAAAGGTCACGCTTGTTTCGCACACACCATACCCTATGGGTATGATACATAGGGTATTATACAAAAATTGAAATTGCATTTATTTATTTATTTTTTTGGGGGTGGGGGGGGGGGTGGGGGGGGGTGTTAATATATTGATCCAACAACCATCGAGGGACAATATTTACTTCCTTCTTTAGGATCGGTGAATGCATACATCTAGGCAAGCCAAACCATTGAAATGACCTCAAAAACAGAAATAATTGTATAATATACAACTTGACTTTTATTTTAATGATAATATGAAAATCATTTTATGTTTCTCTCTTGGTTACACCTTTCAATATACACCACAAGAATTTTGATCGAATTTTAACTGCATGCAATTACATGTATTAATTAAATGAATGATGTTTTTTACACATCATTACCAAGTCATCTGCTTCTTTTCCATTCAATTTTACCAGTTTATCCCACATCAAAATTATTAATTACTGGTACATGTATCAAAATCATTAATTGATAGATGTAAACAAAATTTTAATAGTTTACATCTTTGTAAGATGCAATAATGCTGAACAAAATATCACTGATCTCCGATGCTTCTCTTTTGTAGTAACTGACTGTCCTTTGTTTATTTATGAGTCTCTTCTAGTGAAATATAAAACTGTAACCTAAAGGTGCTGAAGATCCATGGGAGATGAAAGTCCATGCCTGATTATCTTTATCCAAGTACCAGCATTGAATCCATTCTTTGCACTCTAATCTTTGTTATTCCTAAAATAATAGTTACATATAATTATCATTTACCACATTAAAACTCATTATTCTACATTGATTTAAAGGTATTAAAGGGTTTTTTTAAATTTATAAATTACTTTACATGGAATCTCAAGTTTATGTAATGCAGTAATTTCATGTAAAATCTCAAATGGTTGCATGTGCATGGCATGTGGTCCCCCACCTTTGGAGTCTTATTAGTTGGTCGTGTGCAATGATGTTTTTCTTGCTGTCTCAAAAATACTGTCAGCTTTTCCTTCATAACCATGATGCAAACCATCTTGCGCATTCTGTGAAAATGATATAGGGTTTCATTTCAAAAGTATATAATTCAAATTACTAACTTATGAAATATGTAAAATATCTTTACCATATTTTCTATCATTTATGTCTCAGGTTTTAACCATATTACAATTTAAACTGTAACCAGTTATGAATTCTGTAATCTTGCTACTGATTAAATTAAAACTACAAAATGAAATACCCGGTACTCTCACAGTACCTGTTATAAAACACTTTTGGGTCTTCCCTTTTCATTCTATCTCTTCAGTCAAACAAGTTCTTGATCATTCTGAAAAACAACAAGGAATATTTTTCATCTAGATTTATATGCAATATGACATACAGAGAGAGAGAGAGAGAGAGAGTAGGTATAAAGACAACTAAATATACCTATTTAACAACTCTAAATTAAATTTACCTGGTGATTCCAAAGCACAGTACACTGTTTTCCAAATACACTAGCCTGATTAAAAATGTTGGGCCAGTAAAATGTAAGTCAGCAATAGCTCGACAAGACTAATAGAATTTTCAGTGATATATCTTTTACAAATTATACCATCAGTAATGTTAAAAAATGTGCATAAACAGCCTTGTCTGAAAAATTATATATTTATTAAATAAATCAAGCTTTTTGGTGGTTTTTATATCTTGGTTGATTTTTTTTTCTGTCCATACTTGATTTTGTTATTTAGTTATCATTTCTGACTAGTGCCATGTTGACATGGGTAGAGCAAACAAGAGGCCTATTGGCCACAATGCTCACCTGAGTCAATATCTTCATCAGCAGATTTTTCTAATATATGTTCTTATGTAAAACTTTGATCCCCATTGTGGTCCTACCCTATCCCAGGGGTTCATGATTTCAACAGATTTGAGGATTCTTCAATATATACATGTATCTGTACAACTAATCATGGCTTTACTATTCTTAAAAAGAAGAATTATCACTATATAGTGTGAAACTTTGATCCCCCATTGTGGCCCTATACTACCAGTATGTCTAGTTCTTGAGAAGAAGATTTCTAAAGATTGTTACCTAGTATCTACATTTTTTTAAAGTAAAATTTAGACCACCCATTAAAACCCCATGCTAACGCTACTTTTCACAAAAGTTTCAACCCTTTTGGCCCAGTTTTTCATGAGAAAAAGATTGATAAAGTTTTTTACATATATATTTCTATATGTAAAACTTTGATTGCTTATTGCGACCAATCCATTTCCCTTGGGGTCATGATCCGAACAAACTTCCCACTACATTATGTAATAAAGCTTTCACATAAGTTTCATCTTTTCTGTTCCAGTGCTTCTTGAGAGGAAGATTTTTGAAAGATTCATTAAATTTTAACTAATTTTTAATTATCTCCCCTTGAAAGAGGGCAAGGCTCTTCATTTGAACAACATTGAATCTCCTTCATCCAAGGATGCTTTGTGGCAAATATGGTTGAAATTTGCCATGCAGTTCTGGAAGAAGATGAAAATGTGAAAAGTTTTAAACAAAGATGACAATGACACCTGGAACAACAACAGACAATTGACAAAGTGTGATCAGAAAAGCTTACTGGAGCCTTTGGCTCAGGTGAGCTAAAAAATCAAAACCTATCACATAAAGCATTTACTTCTTTTAATTAGTAAAATTTACATGTTCATTTTCAATTTGAATTACCATAAACCTGGGGCCTAAAATAAAAATTAATTTGTTTGCAGTTGCCTACCCATGCACTGAAAATGCACCCGACCCAAACTTTTTTTTTCAGCCATTTTGTATTATTATTTTTTGTTAAGTTTCAGTTTTTCAGGATATTGAAAATGTTCTATTTTTTATTTTTGTTTTTATCAAGTGAAGCTTATTTATGTTAAGTAAGCCTTGAAGTATGAATATATCTATAATTTGTTATCTAATAAAAGTCTGAAAAATAACTTATTTTAAAAAAAAAAAAACAAAACAAAAAAACCTATGTATCCACTCTAAAAATTATAGGTTGGCAACTGCAAACAAAGAATTTTTTAAGCTAATGGCCCGGGCCTTCCCACTGAATCCCTTAAATTTGGCCATGTTAAATAATGGTTGTTGTATGGGACATGTATTGATTAATGATGAGAGCACAGACAATGTTCCATACTTATATGATGATAAAATGTTCTATTGTTAAGATGATATTCTCCTACAGACCCGGTTTAATGAAAGAATGTGTATTAGCAATGTTATGTAGCAAAACAAACCAGGCAATAAGTATTATTTAGAGAATGAGACGGGTTCTGTATCGTAGATACAAATTTGGGGGTGGACAAGTGCATAGCACTAGTCTCCGCCCCCAGATTTGTATCTACGATACAGAACCTGTCGAGTTCTCTAAATGATTTGTGACATGATCAATCAAGAAAAAGCATCGCC